AAAAAAAAAAAAAGAATAGCTCTTGAAACCCACATGAATAGATTGTGTTTTAGTGTCTTGGGCTGTCCAGTCAGTAACTCTAAGGACTTATCCAGCTGGCTTGTTCTAGAATTCCAGACATTACAATAGACTGGCACTAGTAGGAGTACTGTTTCTCCTTGTACTGCTAAGCAATTCCTGATTCAGGGAGTTACCACAATCTTAAAAACCTATCCTATCTCCTCTGTCTTCACCTAAAAAAACAAACAAAAAAAACCATTTACCACCCTTTATGAATTAGGCATTTTGCTATATGCTTTCCTTTAATTTCAGAATATACATCTTTGTGACAGACAGTAGATTCCACTTAAACAGTCAAGAAAATTAAGGCTCTTGGGGGTTGGGCAAGGAAGTAGGCTTTGAGTAACTGTTGTGTATTAAGCACTGTGCTAGGCATCCTTCTCTGGGATTCTTATCCTTGTTTATCATCTTACATACATGAGCATATTTATGTGGCACATTTGGGTAAGATCCTACCACTGGCTGCCCTATGGGCTATGGGGATCATTATCTCAGCGTATCTATAACTTAAACAGTAGTTGGGAAGCCTTGCTGTATAGTAGTCCCCCATCATCCATGGTTTCACTTTCTGCAGTTTCAGTTACCTGCAGTTACCCACAGTCCAAAAATACTACCATAAATAGAACAACACAGAAATAAATAATCTGTAATTTTTAAATTATGCATTGTTGTGAGTGGTGTGATAAAATCTCACATGAAAAGGAGACCCCAGTATTACTTAGCTGAGGTTTGGTACTATCTACAATTTTAGTCTTGGAATGTATCCCCCACAAACGAGGGTTCTACTGTACATATATCAATTAGTCTTCACAACAACCTTGTGAGGTAGGTGTTTTGTCCCCATTTTATAGATGAGGAACCTGAGGCTCAGTGACACTTAAGCTAGTAAGTGACAACTTAAATTGAACTCTTGCTTTTTCTGTAATTAAACTCATTCCTTGCATCTGAAACTTTAGCAGATGGTTGAGCAGTGAATAATAATATAACTATTTGTCTTTTTGGCCTCTTCAGTGGTATACTTTCCTCTAGGCCAATCTTCTTTGTCTCCATATATATATATATATAT